CAGAGGGAGTGGTTTGAGAAGTAACAAAAGTGAGCCATTAAGTGTGGAGATTCCTTATTGGTTGACTGAAGTATCTAGTTTATGCTAATTAAGATAAGCTGTGCAAAATGTATAAATAGCTCTGTTGCCCTACAATAAATGGCTCCTATTCCTGCTGCATCAATCTACAGAAGTTATTCGTCACCTCCCTGGTTATTTCTGCTGCAGCCGCCTCTCGGCACTTAACATTTACATTTAACCTGGTTTTCTTTTTTTTAATGGAACAAATATCATTTTTAAATATGGATTTTAAAGTTTTTACTCTTCAATGTTTATTTTCTTCAAACGAGATTTTTGTCCATGATCTTTTCAAACAACTTGTAGACTAACAAATGTTCACTTTTTTCATTTACTCAGAAGACACGTGCAAATATCCCATTGTTTTCACAAGTAACCAGGTTTACAAGTTTGCCAAGTTATTTCATCTCAAAAATAATTATTATCATATGCTTTCAATGTAAGGTATTTTTTCATTACATAGATTTTACTTTACATGCTTCTATTGTTATAGCTATTATTTGATCATCATTTGTCCTTCACTGGTACCAAAATGTACATCATGCAGGTGTGAGTGTCCTCTTAACAAAGACCACCAGGACCATACCTGTTGTCACATAGTATGTAATGAACTGTAGTAATAAATATGTCTTCACATCATTAAAAAAGAAATGAATTCTCTGGGGGATGGGGCTGCGGCTCAGCAGTAGTGCACTTGCCTGGCATGTGTGAGGCACTGGGTTTGATTCTCAGCACCATGTATAAATAAATAAAAAAGAAAGATCTATCAACAACTAAAAAATATTTTTTTWAAAAAAATGTATTCTCGGGGCTGCAGATGTAGCTCAGCAGTCAAAGCCCCAGCACAGGGGGGGAAAAAAAACCAAAAAAACATGTGCTTTGATTTTCACCTCAAAGGGTTTTTCTAAAAAAAATTGCTAAAATATTACCCTCAAGGCTGGGGTTGTGGTTCAGTGGTAGAGCACTTGCCTAGCATGCATGAGACACTGGGTTCGATCCCCAACACTACATAAAAAAAAAAAACCAAATAGCTGGGGTTGTGGCTCAGAGGTAGAGAGCTTGCCTAGCATGCATGAGGCACTGGGTTCGATCCTCAGCACCACATAAAATATAATAAAGATATTGTGTCTACCTTTAACTAGAAAATAAATGTTTAAAAAACTAAATAAACAAATAAAGTATCACTCTTCTCCAAAACAAAAATATATATTCCACAACAGCTTTTTATACTGTCATGTCTAGCCTCAGTTCACAGACATAACTGGCACATAAATTAATAATTTTAAAACTTGTTGAATGAATAAATGATACACAACTAAAATAATATATAATTAAAAGATGACTAATAGGGAGGAAATGAATAAGAAAATGATCTAAAATGAGACAGATAAGAATTGGATTTGGGGGCTGGGGTTGTGGCACAGTGATATGTGTGAGACACTGGGTTTGATTCTCACCACGCACCAAAAATAAACAAATATTAATAAAGGTATTGTGTCCATCTTCAACTAAAATATATATATATAAAAATAATTGGAGCAGGGTGCAGTGGAACATGCCTGTAATCCCAGCGGCTTGGGAGGTGAGGCAGGAGTTGAGTTCAAAGCCAGCCTCAGCAAAAGCTAGGCACTAAGCAACTCAGTGAAACCCTGTTTCTAAATAAAATACAAAATAGGGTGGGTGATGTGACAGTGGCCAAGTGCCCTTGAGTTCAACCCCCAGTACAAAAAAAAAAAAAGAAAGAAAGAAAAGAACTGGTATTTGTAAAGGAAAACCCAAAGTCTGAGAACATTATCTGTATGCAATGTGTATCTAAAGAAAACAGGCCAGTTATTCTCAGCCACTTTGAAAGTGGTGCTTTAAAAACCAAAATCCTGCCAGGTATGGTGGCAAACACCTGTAATCCTTACTGCTTAGGATAAACAGCAGGATTGCACGTTGCAGGCCAGCCCAAGCAATTTAGGAAGATCCTATCTCAAAATAATAAAAATAAATGAATAAATAAATAAAGGGTTGGAAATATGTAGTGTTTGCCTAACATGTTCTATGCTGAGGGTTCAAGTCCCAGTACCACAAAAGAAGAAAGGAAAGAAGGAAGGAAGAAAGATCTCCAAATTTCTAAAAACTCAAGAGTCAACACCTGAAGGGATCAGAATACCTGGATGGCTCTGGCTTGAGAAATTCTTCCAATGTCCTCGGCTCCTTTCCTTGCTCCAACATGCAGATTGCCTCTGTCTTGGTGACACAATACCCTACAAATAAGAAAAAACACAAGACTTGGGCCAGGTTTGTGGATTTCCAGGTTCTTGAAGGAGAAAAGTACAGCTCCAGGATCTATATAACAATAGGGCCATTTAAACTTTTCACTGGAAGTGGGGGGAAATGTTATTTCTAGATCAAAAGGGAAAAGACCTTCGGCCCACTGTTTAGCTTTGGATCCTATGCTTCAATCTAAAAATCATTAATCTAGCTAGGCATAGTGGCACATGCCTGTAATCCCAGTGGCTCAGCAGGCTGAGGCAGGAGGATTCCAAGTTCAAATCCACCCTCAGCAACTAAGCAAGACCCTGACTCAAAAATAAAAAAGACTTTGGAGGGCTGGGGATGTGGCTCAAGCGGTAGTACGCTCGCCTGGCATGCGTGTGGCCCGGGTTCAACCCTCAGCACCACATACAAACAAAGATGTTGTGTCCGCCGAAAACTAAAAAATACTCTCTCTCTTAAAAAAAAAAAAAAAGACTTTGGATGTAACTCAGTGGTAAAACACCCCTTGGGTTTAATCCCTGGTAACCCACTCCCCAAAATCTATAATCTCTATAAAGGATGATGTGTACCAGCAACTTTAAAAAGAAATTTTATTTGGAATTACATAAAACACAATCCTTACCCTCTGAGATGAAGTGGTTGTAGTTCTCCAGAATCACGGCCCTAAAAAAGGTCCTTTGAGCAGGGTCCAGGTGCTGCTACTCCTCTTGGAAGAAGCCTACAGCTACAACCGGAATGACCCTGGTCCCTTTAAAAGATTATTTGTGGGGCTGGGGTAGCTCAATGACAGAGCGCTTGCCTAGCATGTGTGAAGCACTGGGTTTGATCCTTAGCACCACACAAAAATAAACAAATAAAATAAAGGCTTTCTGTTCATCTACAACTACAAAAAAAATTATTTTTAATTTCTACTATGAGCTGAAATGGACAACATGCAATGTTTGAAGCACAAAACCTTGTTGTGTTCACTATTGACACCTGAAGAGAAAATGTCACACATAACACACCTAATCTAGAAATATTTTGGCATTTTAATGTTGTGGGAGAACAAATAATAGAAGTACCCTCAGAAGTACCTATCCATATACTAATGGATACTTTAATCCCAGCTGTTTGGGAGGCTCAGGTAGGAGGATTGCAGAATCAAAGCCAGCCTCAGCTATTTAGCAAGGTCCAAAACAATGCAGCAAGACCTTGTCTCCAAATAAAATATATTAAAAAAAAAAAAGGACTAGAGATGTGACCAATAGTTAAGTGCCCCTGGGTTCAATCACCAGTACCAAAAAAAAAAAAAAAAAAAAAAAGTACCCTATCCATATACTAATCTTTGATTCATGAAAAAAAAAAAAAATCTGAGGCTCCTCAATTGTCTCACTTTCTGGGAATGTAAAAAATGAATTTTTGGCTATTCAGTGTATTATTCATCAGGAGGGACTGTAAGCAAAAATAACCAACATGGTTTCGACACCATTATGAAAACAAATAACTGGGATGGAAGCAGACCTCAAATGGAACAGTAAGCTTTCCTTTATTCCACAGTGGAGTCAATCAATCAGGCATTGTAAGGGCTCCTTTTCTGGGTAGAAAAATGGCCTTCAGTTACAAAAGGGGTATGAGTTTTAAAGTTTACAATGAGGGCGGGTTTAATCATTGGAAACTGCAGACATGCTGATAGAACAGTGAAGGAACTAGTAGTGTAGTAGAATCCCCTTTCTCCACAGAAAAGTCTGAACTGGGCTTCTTCAGAAATCCTCACCATGGCTGATTTGGGGACTGTCAGCAAAAACGTCTCTGCAAAAGAGTTCAATGTAGATAAACTTCCTATTTTCCTGTTGCCCTGTTTTACTTGGCCACTGGCCAGGAAGATACCAGCACTCCAGGTGCTGGACACCCMCTCACTAGTTTTTCACAAAAGTATCCAGTATAGTAGTTTGTAGAAATGTGCAAACAAGGGCTCTGGCCTTGAGCTGGGCTTCACAGAGATGTCTACATTTTTAAGATAAGAGAAGATACCAATTGGGCTCCATGGTAAGAGCTGGCAGGGGGAGAAAAGAGAGGGGAGGAGAGAAGAAGCTCTCCCCTTCTCAGATGTTGTCCTTGAAGTGTTAACTTGCCCAAAACAATAAGAGGAAAAAGCTGCTTTTATGTAAGCTTCTGCAGGCTGTGAACTTCTGATCCCCTCACCTTACATGCTGGATATAAAACTCTGAAACTCCCTGAACTCGGGGTTCAGGAGATTGATTGATTACAGCAGAAGCTGTGCTCTCTGAACCTGGCTGCAGCCAAATAAAACTGTTTCCTGCTATCTTCCGTGCCTTACCTAGTCTGTCCCTACAACAGAGGTCCAGGTTGAAATTTTAACTCAGGAAGGCAGTTGTAAAATGTTTGAAACTCTAACAATGAGGAGATAGGAACTCAGATCCTGAGAGATGAAAACTCAAATCCTACTCGTTGCATTTCTTCTTCCCGTGGGATTCATTGTTTCCCAGAGTTTCTCACTATCTACTGTGCTCTGTTCAGGACTAATTGGTAATTGCGGAAGTTCAAAGTTTAGGGTCCAGGCTTCAGGCTTCAATATCACCTCTTTCCTTCAGGGCCCATTGTTCTTGGAAAAGGTTTAATGTTTGGCTAATTTCTCTCCCTCTCCTGAGCCACATCCTCTTTCCTTTTTTTTTGCTTTTAATTCAAAATTGTACTTACATATTTGAGTGGAAAATTGCTTAAAATGAGAATGGACTTCAACTATAAGGAGCCTGCAAAAATAGGAAAGAATTCTCAAATATTAAAAACCTTGCCGGGGCAGTGGCACATGCCTGTAATCCCAGCAGCTCAGGAGGCTGAGGCAGGAGGACGGCAAATTCAAAGCCAGCCTCAACAATGGCTAGACACTATACTACTCAGGGAGACCCTGTCTCTAAATAAAATACAAAATAGGGCTGGGGGATATGGCTCAGTGGTCAAGTCCTCCGGAGTTCAATCCCCAGTACAAAAAAAAAAAAAAAAAAATCCTTGACTACTGAATTTGAAAACCAAAATCAAAATACCCAACTGAAGGAGGGAAAGAGAATGGATAAATAAGAGATTCAAACCTTCTTTCCTGAGTATCTAAAATAACAACATTTTCTAGCTTATTAGAAGAAAAAAAACTTATTTGCCCTCTACCTTATTTGCAAATAAGTTTTTTTTTCTTCTAATAAGCTAGAAAAATAAATTAGCAAAAGTCACACCAGCTCAAGAGATTCTTTAACAAGTTTAAGGTCACACTTTGAACAAAAACCTACAAAGCATGCCAACAGGCTAAAAAATAAAACAAACTCCGAAGAACAAGCAATCAGAACCAGACTCAGATAGGACCCAGATGTTGGAATTATATATAGACAATTTAAAATAACTATGATTAATTTGGTATGGTATTTTAGTCAGCTTTTCATCACTGTGACCAAAAGACATGACAAAACTTAGAGGAGGAAAAGTTTATTTTGGCTCATGGTTTCAGAGGTTTCAGGCCATGGTCAGCCAACTTCACAGATCTAAGCCTGAGGTGAGGAAAAACATCATGGAGAAAGTGTGTTGGTGGAGAGCTGATGAGTTCATGACATCCCGGAAGCAGAGACAGAGGTCTGCCCACCAGAGACAAAATATAAACCCAAAGACATGTTCCAAAAAAAATGGCCTACATTAATATAATTGTGAATGACAAGGATAAAATCTTAGGAGCTTCCAAATGAAAGAACAGCTGATATACAAAGGAAAGAAAGATTCTTGCTTCAGATTTCTCCTCTATTGTGGAGGAAGCAAAAATACAATGAGATTATGAGAGAAGAATTTCAGGAATCCTTCCTACACACACACACACACACACACACACACACACACTATCTTTCATTTGATAGGTCCAAAACCAGACGTGTTCAAATGGGCAGGGCCTCGGGGAATAAAATACCCATAAATCTCTGCAAGGAAAATGCTGAGGCGGGGTTAACAAACTGCCTAACAAGTCTCCAGCGGGGGCAAAGTGAAGAGGGGAGAAATGGGAAACAAGGTCTTGCTATAATAATATAGTTACAACAACATGCAGAGTGCCCACATGATCCACAATGTAACATGAAATGTCAACAACTTTTGAAATAAAAGAGACCACCAGAAAGGAAAGAGCCAGTAATATCYTGATAAATTAGCAAAATAAAGGAGGTTGGATATGGGTTGGGCTGGAGTCTGGGATAGGGTGGGTAAATTAAAGGTTTCTAAAGTCATCTAGGACAGGCTAGAGAAATGGCAATCAGTACACCACGGATCAGGAGAAGAGCAATTAATTTATCCTAATATAAGCTGGGTTATAATAAGAGGTTATGGGTTAGTAACAAAGAGAACTGAATACCAGAAAACTACCAAACTAGCAGAAAGAATAATGAGCAAGAAATCTGAACAAAACAGAAAAAAGAAACTAAGTATGTTAATTGTATACATTACAATGCATGTTATAATTATACTCAGATATAAGGATTGAAAAACCAAGTTGCAGAGCAAAACCAAAATAGAAGCAGAAAATATGAATGGCTAAATTTCTTCTCTGAGATATATTATCATAATAATTTTTTTTAAATCCAGTTATATAATGTTTAAGAAATAAATTCAAAACAAAGAGATGAAAGAAAGCAAAGAAATGGGCAAAATACTTCAGGTAAAAGCAATTAAAAGGAAAGCAATAGTGGCCTTACTTATATTAAAGTGAAAACTGCAGTCTTAGTCTTGCCTTTAACTTAATGGTATGAAAACAATTATCACCCGTGATAAATAGAAAAAGTAGTCAAGGATAAAAGTCAAGTTTTTGTATATCCAAAGACAAAGTCAATTGCAACCTTGGTTATAGAAAACAAACTCTTGAGGCAAGATACTTCTTTCAACTTACAAGGAGATAAAAATTAGCAAATATAGCCATCACATGGTATTATAAACAGAATATTTCACCCTTTTATTCTAGGAAAATTAACAAAACTTGATGAGATAATGACACTTAAAATTCAAATATAAAATTTAATACTGTAAATTTGTATAATCTAATAATTCTCAACAAACATGTAATATAGGTATTATTACCTGCAACATAAAATATAAGAAAACTAGAGTAAAAGAAGGATAATTAACAGGTCCAGGATGGGAAGGAAGTCATATGACAACAAAAGCATTCATTTATAATCATTAGATCATGTGTTGGTCACTAAGAAAGAAAAAAAATTTTACCACTGAACTACATCCTCAGTAGTTTTTTATTTAAGACAGGGTCTCACTAAGTTGCTAAGGGCCTCACTAATTTGCTGAGGCTAGTCTCAAACTTGCCAGCCTCCTATTTCAGCTTCTCAAGTAGCTGGGATCATGGGCATGCACCATCACATCTGGCCATTAAGAAAATTTTTAATAAATTCTAGAAAGCATGGGGCTGGGGATGTGGCTCAGCAGTAGAGCGCTTGCCTTGCATGTGCAGGGCCCTGGGTTCGATCCTCAGCACCACGTAAAAATAAATAACGAAAATAGAGGTATCGTGTACAACTACAACCAAAAAAATAAATAAATATTAAAAAATGAAAACTTGCAATCCTCATGCCTTGGCCTCCCAAGTCACTGGGATGTAATCCCAGTGCTGCTGGGCCTGACATCTTTTWAAAAAAAAAAGAATTTTAGAAAGCAGAAATGTATTAAAAGTAGCATTTTGAGATATTACATTCTCAATTTTGAGCTTTAAAATTGAAAAAAAATAGATTATTTTACCTAGGATATGAACTCATTAAAAAAAAGAGAAACAGTTCTATAAGAAAAACTTTGGACCAAAGATAAATACCAAAATCTAAATTACTAATTATCTGGCATTAAATGTAATGAAGATACTTTACATGACAATTTTAGGGCCACAACCAAAGGTATTACAAAATACTTGCCTTTAACTTATTTTTAAAACTAAAAGACTAAAAATAGATTATGAATTATATATTTCTATAAGAGAAATTAGGAAAAAACAGGATAAGTTAAGGATAAAATCATAAATGATTATAATTAAAATAAACAAAAGGAAATAAGGAGTGAGCTTAAATTTAAAACTAAAAGCGGTTTGTCAGAACTAGCCTAAGAAAGAGATTAAATCTAAAACTGAAAGCCAGAGCAGTGGCCCAAGCCTGTACTTCCAGCTACTCAGAAGGCTGATGCAGGTCAATCACAAGTTGTAGGCCTCAACAATTTAGCATGACCCAGTCTCAAAATAAAAAGGGGTAGGGATGTGGCTCAGTGGTAGAGCACGCCTGAGTTCAATCTCTAGAACTAGAACTGAAAAAAAAAAAACTGAAGTTGATGTTAGAAACTTTAAAACAGGGTAATAAGGCAAAAATATAAATATAGCTTTGAGAAAGTACACTTAACATATCCTATGAAATAAGTATTTACACAAAAAGAAACCACAGGAAAAAGGAAATCGCAGGGAAAAATAATCACTTAAATATTTTATTTAACTAGGGAATGATTCTGACCAAATTATATTGTTGTATCATGTGCATATATGAATAGGTAACAATGAATTCCACTATTCTCTATAATTATAATATTTTTAATAAAAAACATTTTGAATTTTTATTTAAATGTTACAAATAAAATAACAGCTGGACTATATTGTTATGGTTTTGCTCATGTGTGAGACAATGCAAGAAAGCTTAGAAATAAATGATTGGGTTATGAGAATATTAACATAATCAGTGCATTAATCCTCTGATTGAGGTTAACTGGTTTGTAACTTTAGGCAGGTGGGAGGAGGTAGGTCATTGAAGATGTGCCTTTGGAGTTTATATTTTGTCTGTGGTAAGGGGAGATTCATTCTCTCTCTCTCTCTGCTTCCTGGTTCCATGTCCTGAGCCTCTTTCATCCGCCACACTCTTCTGCCATGATGTTCTGCCTTACCTCAGTCACTGAGGGATGGAGCCAGCAGTCTGTGGACTGAGAGCTCTAAAACCATAAGCCCCAAAGTAAACTTTTCCTTCTGTAATTGTTCTTACCAGTTTTTGATGTTGTTGTTGTTGTTGCAGCAGTGAAAAAGCTGACTAAAACATATATCTAGATGTATACTTAAAGAATAATACAGCATGTTCCATTAAAATATACTACTTATGAAAGAAAGTGATAACTTTATGGTTCATAGTAATCTTTCCCACACAATAAGAATAAGGGTTCAATATATGTTCACTGAATAAATGACCAAGTAGTGTTTATCAAGAGTGTACAGCTTCTTCAACAATAAGAAATTCAGAAATACTGTGCCAATATATTAATCTTGGGTTCAAGATAAATTATGGAAGTCACAAGCTAAATGAATAGACACAAATTTTTAAGCATGTTAACCAACAGGTTAGAAATGGTAATGAAAGAAAAAAGGGAGTAATATCAAAATCAACAAATTAGTTAGGAATAAAATTAGCTTCATTGAGAAAATGACATTAGGGCTGGGGATAGCTAAGTTGGTAGAGTGCTTACCTTGCATGCACAAGGCCTTGAGTTCAATTCTCAGCACCACCGGAAAAAAAAGAAAATGACATTTGAGCAAAGTCCTGGAGAATCATAAAACATAACTGAATTAATTCAATAGAAAACAGAAAAAGAACAGTTTAAGACAATTAGATGACAGACCTAAAGAAGATCCTATCAATATTCATATTATATATAAGAATGTTTTGGGGACTGGGGTTGTAGCTCAGTAGTAGAGCACCTGCCTATCATGTGTGATGTACTGGGTTTGATTCTTAGCACCACATATAAATAAATAAAAAATAAAGATCCATCATCAACTAAAAAAATAAATTTAAAAAAARAGAATGTTTTGGGGCTATGATTGTAGCTCAGTGGTAGAGCACTTGCCTAGCATATATGAGGCCCTAGGTTTGATCCCTAGGGCCATATAAAACTAAATAAACAAAATAAAAGTATTGTGTCCATTTACAACTTTAAAAAAAAGAAAAAACAGAATTTTTGGTCCAAACATCCAAAGGCAGGGATTGTCACAGTGGGTTAAAAAAAAAAAAAAGCAAGGCCTTTTTATATATTACCTACAACAAACTCACATTAATATAAAAATAGAAACAAGTTAAAAGGATTGAAAAAAGATGCATCATCATCCATTTTATGCTGCTCTAACAGAATACTTGAGGCTGGCTAATTTATAAAGAACAGAGATTCTTTCTTACAAGAAAGAAGCTGGAAAGTCCAAGTTCAAGGAGCCCTTATCTGACTTTGTGCTGCATAATGCCATGGTGGAAGGCAGAAGAACAAGAAAAGGTGTGCAGTTGAGAGAAGGAAGATGTTGGAACTCGTCCTTTTATCCAGAATTTACTCCCCCATGATAATAACATTAATCCATTCATGAACTCACAGTCCTAATGAATCAATCACCTCTTAAAGGTCCTTCAAACCATAGCAATATATCATGCTAACACTAATCAAATGAAAAAGATACAGTCTAACAGTTACTAACAATTAGATGAGGCAGCTTTCCAAGCAGAATATTACTAAGGATTAAAAAAAAAAGTTTTATGATGATAAAGGAGTTAATTCATCTAGACATAAAAATCCTAAATATTTATATACCTCAAAAAGCTTCAAAAATACATGAAACAAAAACTTACAGAATTACAAGAAGAAATAGATAATTGAATATTTATAGTCAAATTTCAAGCTCTTTTTTTGTAATAACTGATATAACAAGTAGACAAAAAAACCCACTATATGTATATCTTAAAAATCTAACCAAAACTATAAACTCAACTAACTTTACCTGAGACCCTACAACAGAATACACATTCTTTCCATATTTCTGGCTCATAAAAAAAGTTTCAGGGGTTGAGGTTGTGGCTCAGCAGTAGAGTGCTTGCCTAGCATGCCCGAAGCGCTGGGTTCGAGCCTCAGCACCACATAACATAAAATAAATAAAATAAAGGTATTGTGTCCAACTACAACTAAAAAACAAAAATTAAAAAAACAAGTCTCAATCAGTATAAAAAGATTCAAGTACTACATACAGACAGAACACAATAAAAGAAATCAATATTAGAAAGCCAAAAAATCTTCCCACAAAGAGAATTCCTGAACTAAATGAATTCACTGGTGAAATCTATCAAACATTTAATATGCAACAACAGACAAGTGTGGTGGTACATGCGTATAATCCCAGCAACTTGTGAGGTGGATCATAACTTGGAGACTAGCCTCAGCAACTTGGTGAGACGCTGTCTCAAAATAAAAAATAAAAAAGGGCTGGGGATATAGATAGCTTGGAGGTTAAGTTCAATTCCCGATACCAATTAATTAATTTAAAATGTAACAGCAATTCAACACAATTTTTTTCAGAACACTTCAGTGGAGGGGATACTTCCCAACACATTCTATGAAGCCAGCATTATTTTTATAGCAAAACATATCACAAGAAAACTATGAACTAAGCCTAATAAACACAGATGTAAATATTCGTAAGTTAAAACAAATCTTAATCTTAGTAAATACAAATCTAACAATATATAAAAGAATGAGAAATGCACTTGTCCCAGATACTTGAGAGCCTGACATAGGAAGATCACTTAAGCTCACAAGATTGAAACCAAACCAGCCTGGACAACACAGCAAGACCACTATCTCAAAAAAAAAAAAAAATGGAGAGACAGAAAGTGAGAAAACCCGTTTACTAAATTAAAAAAAAAAAGAAAAAACAACAACTCCATGTCAATTTAAAGAAGAAAAATACAGCACAATGGTGTAAACAGGCAGCTACTTTGAGTATAATAAAAAGATAAATAAGAATATTCCAATTTGCTCTTCTACACAAAGACATAAAAGGAGGATATACAAAAAGCTAATAAGGCGACTATGGGGAAAAGTGGAGAAAAACAATGAGACTTCCTATATATATGTATTTACGGTGCTTTTAACTTATACAATGTGAACAAATTATTTAAAACCATAAAATTATTATTATTATTTAAATTTATGAAATTTTTAAAAATATACCAAATAAGTAGTGTACACCTCTAATCCCAGCTTCTTGGGAAGTTCCAGTCCAGCATGGGAAACTTAGCAAGACCCTGACTCAAAATTAAAAATAGAAAAGGCTGGGCATGTAGCTCAGTAGAAGCTACCACAAAAAAGAAAGAACGGACAACTGACCAGATGAACAGGAAAACTGAGACGTGCAATGGTTTACAGTGAATCCTAGGGCTAGGGGTGCAGCTCAGTGGTATAGCACTTGCCTAGAATGAATTCTGCTTTTAGTCATTTGGATGACTGCTAAGCAGTGTTAACATCTTACAGGGAATAAAGGAATATGACTACTTTCATCTTAGATCTGCTACGTTGAGATGCCTTAGGACAAATTATACACAAACGGCAAGCTCTAAGGTGCACATCAGGGTCCATAGGTAGAGCTGAGAGCCAGAATAAAAAGACAAATTCTAAAATGCTCCCAGCAGGTGCTTCCCAGCTATAACCACAGAAAGGATGGAACCCATTCTATGGAGGCCAGGAAAGCCTTTTAGGAAAACATAATGTTCAAGAGAAGGAGGCTGAAGAAAGCATCCTGAAAAAGAAAATCTAGCAAAGGCACTGAGATGTTGGCGTGGTGTCATAGAAAACCTCAAAAGAGACCAGTGGGCAGTGTTGATGAGACAGCAGGCACTAGAGAACAGCCACCATTTKATTATAATTAGGTCCCTGTGACCTTTACCAAATGCAAATACAAAGGCAGAAGGAAGAGAGGTCTAAAATGTGAATTAGGATTGTAGACAGCATAACTCTGATCTGGGCCTCCCCATAAATACAGCCTAAAGGTGAGAAAAAATTTACTGAAATAACCTGAAAATACACTCAATATCTTCTTCCAAATGTTCTATGCTCTATCCCTAGATGAAATGGCAACATCAGAAAATGCTCTAGAGTAGCACTGCCCAATTTGGTAACTTCTAGTTACACACATGACAACTATGCCTTTAAAATGTTGTTTAAAATATCTGACTTAGAAAATACATTTTGATTTTATCTAATTAAACTGCAATATCCACATATGGTTAGTATCAGACTTATATTTTGATTCTCTGAAAACTTATATTCACTGAGGTTTTCCTTAGTTTTATAATTCTCTGTTCCCATGGAAGAACTACTGAATGAAAGAAGCTGCATTTGTTTTATTGAAGTTATTGGAAGGTTATATATTTCATCACTCACACAAAGTGCATAAAAGGAATGCCAGAGTCTTCATGTCCCATTAACAATATGATTTTTCATCATGGAAAATGTAAATCCCATAACAGAGATCTGCATTTTGCCATGACTACCAGAAAGATCAGAGGAAAATTTGCAGTTAAATTTGGATAACACTATAAGATCAGAAAGCCTATGCACACCTACACAATAAATCATCCTGTTATTGATCTGCTACTAGATATTTCTCCATTGTTTTGCATATATTTCTGTATTTCCATTCTAATCCAGTGACCCTTGAAAATTTCATACAAGACATTATAAATAAAGCTGTGAGGAATAACTCAACTGGGATCTCTTCATTTTCGATTGGTCTTGGGGAAGCATGGAGAGTGTGAAGGTGGGGAAAAAGAAGGAAGAATGAAGTCAGGAAAAATCTGGCCTGTCTTGCAGCTCCTAAATTCAACTTCCTAAAATGTCCACAGAAGAGACAGTACAAACAATGTGAAGACACATGTATGATCATGTATGATCAGTGTTGAATTTAGACATCCAATTTTTTTTTTTATCTGAGATTGAATATAGGGGCGCTTAATCACTGAACTACATCCCAGCCCTTTTGYTGGGGGGCGGGGATGGCAGAAGGGAGTCTCTCTAAATTGCTTAGGCCTTCACTAAGTTGCTGAGGCTGGCTTTGAACTTTCCATCCTCCTGCCTCAGCTTCCTGAGTTGCTGGGATTACAAGAAGGCACCACCACACCCAATAAGAATGAATCTTTAGAGAGGGGATGTACTTTAGGAACCTATACCTCTGTCCCTGCTGGTCATGGCTCGTTCCCAGACACTCTGGGGGCACTCTGACTGAGTGCCCCCATCTCTCTACCCTTTCCTGTCTCATTTCCTTGCTAGGGCCAGCATCGTGTGTGTGTGTTTGTGTGTGTATGTATGTGTGTGTGTGTGGGGGGGTGTATGTGTGTTGTTGTGTTGCTGGGGATCAAACCCAGGGCTTTATGCACGCTAGGCATGAAGCCCTCTACCAATGAGCCCAAGTGCCCGTTTTTAACCCTACTCGTCAATCATTTCAAGAAACTTCCATTTACTCTGCAGCACCCAGGAGAAAGATTCAACTTGTATGTCTGACAGATTAAATTTCACATTATCATTTTAAAAATAACAAAACTCAAGGTGGTGTGGTACTGCCATATGAACATACATATAGATCATTCAAGTCCAGAGATAAAGCTTTATTTTTATGGTCAAGTGATTTTCAATAAAGGTACCAATGGGGAAAGATACTCTTTTCAATAAATGGTGCCAGAACAACTGAATAGCCTCACATAAGAAAATGAATTTAGACACTTATACCATACCTAATAATTAAGCCAAAATGTGTCAAAGACATCAGTAGAGAATGGGTGTGGGGATGGGGACTGACTGCAAGTGGATGTGAAGGATCTCTTTACAGTGATGGAAATATTATAGAACAGGACTACAATTAAAAAGTCATTGAGATCTATATTTTAAGTTGTTAAATAGGTGAATGTTATGGTATGGAAATTGTACCTCAATAAAGTAATTTTAATTAACAAAAAAAGAATGAATCTTTAGTGTTCAATTTTTAAAAAACAGTAATACTAATTTGATTTCAACTTCAAAATTTTTTGGTTTAAAAAGAATTGTTTTAACTCTGCAAAAGTATGCAGAAACCAAAAATCTCTTGCCTTGATCAGTTACAAAGGAATGGCCTAAAACAATTAATTTACACCTCTCAGAGTCCAAGTTTTAACTTTTCTTTCCTTTTTTTAAACTGGGGATTTAACAAAGGGGCACTTTACCACTGAGCTACATCCCCCCTGCCCCTTTTTTATTTTTTGTTTTGAGACAGAGTCTCACCAAGTTACTCAGGCTGACAGTTTGATTGAGGCTGGCCTCATATTTATGATCCTCCTGTCTTAGCTTCCTGAGTCACTGGTATTACAGGAGCGCCCCACTGCACTGGCCCAAGTTTTATCTTTAAAGTTAGGCAAAATAGATAAACTTTGTATAGTCCACCTGCATTATTATTTTGTAACTCTAAGAACATAATAAAAGGGAATAAAAATATCCATATGCTAAATACATGTACACTCAGTTATCTGAAATCTGTGAGCAGAAGACAAAGGAAATTGTGGACTGGAGAGGTTTAAACTTCCTCAGTTCTAGTGAAGGATCCCTTACCTCTGAGCAAGCAACCGCAGGTAAGAGACATTTCCTGCACAATCTGTCCCTCATTCACAGTTCTGGCACAGCACACCTCTCTGCAGAAACTAGCTTGGTCATTCCACCTGTCACAAAGCCATATGGCATCAGATGTGTCTCAAGTCATGCTAAGTATTTAGCACAGGGGGGATTGAACATTGCTTTTGTCCTTGCAAACCTAGAATCTATTGGGGTAGGGGAGAGATTCCTTCCACTTCTGTTCTGAATTTGTAGAGAGAGGCCTGAGGTCTCATGTTTTCTTATAGCTGGGGTTCTAGTACATGTAGGTCTTTCCCTCTCGTCTGTCTAGAATTGCTTTGTTTCAAGGGTGATGGGATCCAGGCCCAGTGACTAAATAATTTCATTGAAATTTCATAAAGGACCCCCAATCTGACTCTCTGTAAGGTCGCTGTCCTCTAGAATACTGTTAGCTCTTCTGTGGGGAACTCCTAAGGGTAGTCAGGAGAATATCTATGCCAGGGAATTGACCGACTTTGGGTATGCTATCTACCCTAGCAGCAGCAACGTGAGATTTGGACTACAATAGATCCATCTTCCAGTCCAACTCCTCCATCACTTGCCATGCAAAATTGGTAACTCATTCACCTTTTCCCAATCTGTTCTTATTTGCTAAAACAGATTGCTGTGAAAAGCCACCGAGATGCCAAATGAAAACAGTTGCTGCTTCATCATTAGCTACCAGACACAAGACCAAATACTTCATATCAACGCCCCTTCAGAGCACAGAGACACAGGCCAAGAGCCTGGAGCTGGGGCTGGGGCAGTCAGAGCCGTAGCAGGAGGAGGAGGGGTGGTCCATGGGGTCAGGGGYACCTTCTGAGCTCTCCTGATGGGGGCTAGAAGCCGTCCCCCAGACCGGACCGGACCAAACCCCTCTCCACAAACCCTTGCAGTTCCAACGTGTGGCTCCACAGGGGTACCAGATGCCCAGCTGGCTTATCCTGGAGAGGCAACCGTGCAGCACAGCGCACAAGTGCACAGAGGCCAGCCCCTCTGAGAGACTAGGCACCTTTGGGGACCTGGTGGCAGCCAGGGCAAGACACCCAAGCTGTCCGGCTCCCCCAGCACAGCAAAATACTGAATATTTCATTATCACAATTTTCCAGTCCAGCCTCACCACCTCTGACACCCTGCAGAACTGTGAACATAAATATATAATACTTATTACCATTTTTTAATAAAACATTTTCTTGGAAACTATAACACCAGTTTTTAATACAAAAATAAGAGGTAAGTTCTGTTCACAATTGTTTAACAGTGGTCCACTTTATACTTTGAATATAGTCCTTGCTGCTCTGCCACTGCAACTTACTTTTTTTAAGATTTTTTTTTTTTAGTTGTAGATGGACACAATACCTTCATTTTATTTATTTATTTATTTTGACACCAGGTATTGAACTCAGGGGCACTCAACCACTGAGCCACATCTCCAGCCCCATTTTGTATTTTATTTAGGGTCTCACTGAGTTGCTTAGCACTTCACTTTTGCTGAGGCTGGGTTTGAACTTGTAAGCCTCCTGCCTCAGTCTCCTGAGCCACTGGGATTATAGGCATGCACCATCTCGCCTGGTCTATGTGTTTATTTTTATGTGGTGCTGAGGATCAAACCCAGTGCCTCAAATGTGCTAGGCAAGCACTCTACCACTAAACTACATCCCCAGCCTGCAACTTATTRTTATTATTTTTCAACTTATTTTTGGACATGTTTCGTTCTCTTCCTCTCTCTGTTCCTCCCTAATCTCTCCCCCTCACTAATCCACACATTGATTTTACCAGTAGTCTCTCAGAAATATCTTGGCTGAATGGGCCACCTATAGGTATAAACCTCTCTAAGAAAAGGTTGTTTTACTGTAACACGATCTGTCTTTGAATGGTTTTCTGGATTATTATACAATCGTGCAGTTGAAGTTGGTCTGTTCAGAAGTAAAGAATATGAAAGAGATTCTGTCTATACAGGCATTTATGCAGTTGCATGATTAGTCCAAACAGCCAGAAACTAAGTTGAAGGGGCCAAAAAGTCACTGCCTCAGGTGTGCAAGGATAGTAAGAAACTAGAAAGAAAGGGTTTTAAAAAATAAAGTTTTAAATCCTTTAAGCCCAGTGCTGGCACTCCCAGCTCTGTTTCTCAGCCCTGCCCCGGCAGACGTGGATCATCTCCTTGAGGGCTGAGGACCAGCCAGGGCTGGGAAAAAAAAATTGCAGGAAAGCTGTCTGGACTGTAGAAAAACCAGCAAGGAGAACCTGGGCTCACCCATTTTTCCATACAACTGGAATGTAGAAATTGACAGTGGGAAATGTGACAGTGGTCTACTTTCCACTTTGGATATATATAGCCCTTGCTGCTCTGCCACTGCAACCTATTTTTAAAATGGACATGTTTCTTCCTCTTCCTCTCTGTTTCTCCCTAATCTCTCCCTCTCCCTAATCTCAGGGGAAACAGAATCACCTTTCTTCCCCATCCTAGGCAGATTTATCTGTCCTTCAGTACACAATTACCACAGGAAAAAAGTAATCCAGACTTTGGGAATGGCACCAGAAGACCTCAGAAATTATAATCTCCCAGAGTAATAAGTGACTTACAACTCCAACAGAGAAGACATGGAATATAGCCTTTGAATCTCTTCTTTGAAAGCCCTCTGTTCCTGCTGATGGGCAAAACCACAGTAGCTGGGACAGAAGTCCCCTGTGTTTCTCTTTTGCTACAAAGCAATAAACCTGGTTTCTCAAAACTGTGTCCGAGTTACTGGATTGGCTTTAGGGACAAGGACCGAGCTTTGAGTAAAAATAGCATAAAAAATTGTACAAAATACTTATTCAAGTTAAAGAGGAAAAACTAAAGAAAATGACATTTTGTAGCATAGCACTTAAAAGAATTAAACAGGGCCTCAGTTCAGATATGGTAGCACATGCCTGTAATCCCAGCAGCTCATGAGGGTGAAGCAGAAGGATCATGAGTTCGAAGCCAGCCTCAGCAACTTAGTGAGGCCTAAGCAATGTAGCAAGACCCTGACTCAAAATAAAATATATTTTTAAAAAGGCTAGGAATGGTGACTCAGTGATTAAGCACCCTGGATTCAATCCCCAGTATAAAAAAAATATATTGAGAATTAAATGGGAAGTGATTTCTAGAAATTTCTCAAAAAAGAAAGCTCAATTTTTGTTAATCATTTTAAACAAGAAGTTTATTTAAACACAAGATGCTTGACTTGAAGGGAAAACAATCTGGGARTCTTTATTGTTTGTTTTTTAGTTATAGGTGGACACAAGATCTTTATTTTATTTTTTTATGAGGATCAAGCTCCCAGTGCCTCATGCATGCTAGGCAAGCGCTCTACCTCTGAGCCACAATCCCAGCACAGAATCTTTTTTTTTTTTTTTCTTTTTTTCTTAAGTAATTTAAGAGATATTGCCCTACATGTAACAGCTACGTACAAAAAAAGTTATAAAACTGTCCTTTGTCTTACAATGATAAATGAAAAACTTTAAAATTCTCCAATTGAACAAGGTATGCAAGGATTGTTATGTTGTTCAAGTTTTGTTTTTTGGTTTTTTGTTTTATTTTGTTTTGCTGTTGATTTTTTTTTTGTTTGTTTGTGTGTGAAAACAGTAAGAGCAAAATAACTTACTGGAATATAAAAATAAGAACTGAATGAGCCTGCCACTAATGGAGAAAGGGGATATTTTCACAGAACCAGTATTTTCCCCACCCCATCTCCATTTGATGTCAATCAAAACATATCATTGGCCATTATTTAAAAATGTGATATTCTTGTGCATATACACCAGTTACTTTATGTACAATGAAGGAGTGGGAAGGGGGAAATGAAAGAAGAGAGAAAACCCATACTGTAATAGTCAGGAAGTGGTGGAACCAAATCGCAGTTTTCTAATTGAGAATGTATTCTTGGTCGGTAAGAACAGAGTTCTGAAGTAGCGGGTTCCCTTTTTAGTAGCACCTCCTGTCTGCTGCTGGAACACAAGAATCTGTTCATCCTCCATTTCCAACTGGGCAGCTGTGTCTGTTTCATTCATTGGCCTCGCTTCACTTGGGAATCTGATCTGCCTCACCGACAAACCCTGTCCTTCACAGATGCTCTCATCAGCTTTTCTTAAAGGCACCACCTCCACCTTCAAGTTAATGCCATCGTCGTTCTCAGCCTCGACTCCTTCCCTGGGCTTTTCGTCGGTCCAGTCCAGCGCGCTGGAGCCTCCTCAGCTGCCGCTTCACAAGAGGTACCAGGTCCGCAGAGAAGGAGCGCACAAGCAGCTCCAGGAGCAGCCCAAGAAAGAGGAGGCAGCGGAAAGCAAGCTCCATTTTTCACAATATTCTGAACCGAATTGCAACAAGTTTCTGAACCACTTTTATCTATTTTGTATTCTTACTCCAAGAAAAATATTATTTTTTTAAAAAAAGTAATACCTACCATATAGCAAAAAGATTTTTCTTCTTTCTTTCTTTCTTTCTTTCTTTCTTTCTTTCTTTCTTTCTTTCTTCTTCCTTCCTTCCTTCCTTCTTTCTTTCTTTTTTTTTTTTTTTTTCGGTACCAGGGATTGAACCTGAGGTGCTAACCAGTCCTTTACTCAGAAATTACTAAAACTAGCTGGTTTTAGTGGCCCACACCTATAATCCCAGGGACCTGGGAGGCTGAGGCAGGAGGCTCACAAGTTCAAAGTCAGACTCAACAATTTAGTAAGGGCCTAAACAATTTAGCAAGACTCTGCCTTAAAATAAAAAATAAAAAAGGACCCGGCGTATGGCTCAGTGGTAGATCACTTCTGGATTCAATCCAAGTGCCAAAATAAACTAGATAGCAATTTTGGAAAAAGTGGTTGAATGTACTTTTCCAGGAAAAGAATAAGATGAAACTGGGAAATCTCACTGTACTAGAGAAACAATGAGGTAAAAAGATAATAATAATATAGAAGACCCTTATTGTTATACAAAATACATGTATAAAGATGTGAATTTGGTGTCAACATATCTGTGTACAGAAATATGATAAATTGTGGTATAAAGGTGTATTAAGAATTGTAATGCAAATAATAATAAGAGAGCTCATGAAAAAAATAAATAAAAATTCTTTAAAATTAAAAAATAAAATGCTTTCTTGTGGAAAGAATTTTAAGTACTAATAAAATATTTTAAAAATAAAAATAAAATGTTACTATAGTTCACCCCCCMAAAAAACTAATAATAATATAGGAGCCAGATCAAGGATGTTACTGTTAGCAAAATTTGGGAGTCAATTAAAGCATCTAAAAGGTTTTTGGTTATTATTATCATTTTTTTTTTAGGTTTTTTCTTTTTATTTTTTTTCTTTTCTTTTTTTTTTCTTTCTTTTTTTTTTTTTCCTTTTCATTGCTGGGAATTGATCCCAGGTCTTCATGCATGTTAGGCAAGTACTGTTCTACTGAGCTCCCTCCCCAGCCATAAAGAATAATATTTAAAACAGAGGGAACACTTCCATTTCCAGGAAGATAAAGTAGATGTACTTTGCCTATTTCATTTGCTAAGTACAGCTAAAACCCCTGAAAACTATATATAAAATAAACATATGAAGACTGAGAAAAGAAATAGAAAACAGCAATGGACCTCAGGACCCAAGGAATAAAACAGCACCAGTTGGTTGGGTTCCCCTTTTTCTCTTTCTTTCTTTTTGTACTAAAGATTGAACCTAGGGGTGCTTTCCCACTGATCTACAAACCCAGACCTTTTAATTAATTAATTTTATTTTGTTTTGTTTTGAGACAGGGTCTCACTAAGTTTCTTAAGCCCTCACTATATTGCTGAAAAGGCTTTGAACTTGCAATCCTCCTGCCTCAGCCTCCTGAGTTGCTGGGATCACAAGCATGAGCCACCATGGCCCCTGATTTTGCCTCAAATATTGCATTTTTGGAACAAAAGGAAGTGACAACCTGGAAATATCAACAGGAACAGAAGACAAATGTCCCAACACAAGCGTTCTCTTTCAACCCAAGAACTAGAAAAGGTTTAGACTAGGAAGACAGAAAAATTTTCAGTCATTAACTATTTTACCACAGGTGGGTGTGGTAAACTCATCATCACAAAGAGGGAGACAAGGAGGCATGATGAATCCCTAATAGGATGCAACATCAAGAACATGGTGCCAATCTTCTCAACCTGAACTTAATCAACTCTTCTTGTAACTTCATTTTACACATAATGTAACCATTTATACGGAATGCAGGAAATATCTGAACAATATGAAGTTAAATGATTCAATGAGGAATTAATCAATCTATTCTGTACTATGGGATAATCAAGTAGCTTGGACTCCTTAAAAAGTCAAGGTGAAGGGGGGAAAATGGTGAATGGAAGAGTACTCAACCAAACTAAAATAGACATAAAAATCAAAAGCAATGACCTAAGCTTGATAGAACACTGTTTTATGAAATATTGGATACTAGATATTCATTGGATAATTGGGAAAATTAGAATTTGAACTGGATATTATGTAACATGGAATTATTTATTTTTTTACATATGAAAATGGAATTCTGGTTATATCAAGAAATGTTCTTATTCTTTTTTAATATTTATTTTTTAATTGTATTTGGACACAATATATTTATTTTATGCGCTTTTATGTGGTGCTGAGGATTGAACCCAGGGTCTTGCACATGCTAGGAGAGTGCTCTACTGCTAAGCCACAACCCCAGTGCAAGAAATGTTCTTATTCTTAGCAGAGGAAGACTGAAATTTTTACGTATGAAATGTCAGACATCATGTTATTCTGAAATGTTTTAGCAAATATAATAATAAACTGCACATGGAAAAATCAATAAATCAAATACAGCAAAATTTTAATAGYTGCTGGATCTAAGTAGAGAATATCTGGGTGTTCATTGGGTTATTCTGTTTTCTCCTATGTTTGAAATGCTCATCTAAAGAAAAGTTGAGAAAAAACAAACTACAAATTAAATAATATTCTTAAAGCAAGTTGGTGTGCACACCTGTAATCCCAGAATCCCTGGAGACTGAGGTAGGAGGATCACAAGGTCAAGGTCAGTCTCAGAAACTTAGTGAGGGCCTAAGCAATTTAGCAAGACCCTGTCTCAAAATAAAAAATAAAAGAGACTGGAATGTGGCTCAGTGGTTAAGTACCACTGGGTTCAGTCCTTGGTACTGAAGGAAAAAAACAAACAAACAAACAAGTACTTTGGGCTGGGGTTGCAACTCAGTGACAGAACACATATGAGGGCCCGGGTTCATCCCCAGCAGTAAAAAATTAAAATTAAAAATAAACTAAGTGCTGGGCGTAGCAGCTCAGCAGGCTGAGGCAGGAGGATCACTAGCTCAAAGCCAGCCTCAGCAAAAGCAAGGCACTAAGCAGCTCAGTGAGCCTTGTCTCTAAATAAAACACAAAAATAAGGCTGGGGATGTGGCTCAGTGGTTGAGTGCCCCTGAGTTCAATCTCAGAACCAAATAAATAAATAATTAAAACCAAGCACTTTTATTTATTTACTTATAAATAAGTAATATTTTATTTATTTATTATTTATTTAAATAAAACCAAGTACTTTTATTTATTTATAAATAAATAAATAAAACTGAGTACTGGGCTGGGGTTGTGGCTCAGCAGTAGAGCACTCATCTAGCATGTGCAAGGACCTGGGTTTGATCCTCAACACCACATAAAAATAAATAAATAAGTGGCTGGGGATGTGGCTCAAGCGGTAGCGCGCTCGCCTGGCATGCGTGCGGCCCGGGTTCGGTCCTCAGCACCACAAACAAACAAAGATGTTGTGTCCGCCGAGAACTAAAAATAAATAAATATTTAAAAAAAAAAAATAAAATAAAATAAAATAAAGGTATTTTGTCAAACTACAACTAAAAAATAAATATTTAAAATCAAACCAAGTACTTTGGGTGAATAACACTGAAATCAGGAATCCTAAAGTTATAGACTGATAAATTTTAGTACAAAAAAATAAAACACTTTCAAGTAAAAAATGTTTAATAGCAAACTAGAAAATACRTTCAGTACAGAATTCATTACATAATTGGTGCACCATTTGGTGGTTTCTATTACATTTTTTTAAACAAACCAAACTTTTAAAACTTAAAAGTATTCTTAGCTCATGAGTCAAAATAAGTCACAGGCCAGATTTGCTTTAGTCAACTTTTTTTCCCTTTCTTTACAGTACTGGGTAATTGAACCCAGGGCTTCGTACATATGAGACAAGCACTTTACCACTGAAACATTCTCAACTTTAGTCAATTACCTTTTAAAGAAAAAAAGTGTTTGTTGTTGTTCATATTTTTAACCAGGCTGGGGATGTAGTTCAGTAGTAGAGTATTGTCTAGCATGAGTAAGGCCCTGGATTCAATCCCTAGTACTGACAAAAAAAAAAAAATTGTGATTACCTATATATTTACACTTCCAGTATAGAACAACTATTTGTGAAGATCCAAGTTTCCATCTCATATAATTTTTCATTTCTAAAAAACTTCCTGTCACATATCATACAGTGCATGTCTGTTGTCAATTAAGTCTCCCAAAGTTGCTCATCTGATTAGTATTTTGCTTTCATTTTTGGAAGATATTTTTGCTGCATGGAGAATTCTAGATTGACCATTTTTTCTTTCAGCATTTTAAATATGATTTTCTATCATAATCTAATTGCTGGGGTGGTACTCTGTTGCTCTATGATGTATCTATTTTCTCAAACTGCTTTTAAAATGTTTTGTCTTACAGGTCATGGTGACACACACCTAGTTTCAGCTACTACAGAGGATGAGATAGAAGGACTGCACCTTCAAGGCCAGCTTCAGCAACTTAGGGAGATGATCTCTCAAAGTAAAAAATAAAAATGGCTGGGCATGTAGCTCTGTGCTACAGTGCCCTGGGTTCAATCCCCAGTACAGTGAAAAAAAAAAAAGTTTTAATTTAAAATTTAAATATTTTTCCTTTCAACTGGTATTCAACAATATGATCATGATGTATGCCATGATTTGAGTGTGTCTTCCAAAACTGTGTGTGTGTGTGTGTGTGTGTGTGTGTGTGTGTGTGTTCCTGGGGATTGAACCCAGGGCCTTGTGCATGCATGGCAAGCAGTCTACCAACTGAGCTATATCCCCAGCCCCCCTCATGTGAACACTTAATTGCCAGTGTGATAATATTAATAGGTGGGACCTATATGAAGATTAAATCATGAGGTAAAGCCTGAGGTAGTGATTTTGTGG